ATCTGTGGGGTATTTTGAGCTGAAACTTCACAGACACATTCTGGGGACACCGGAGACTTATATTACATATTGTAAAAAGGGGCATAATATGTCTCCTTTAATGTAGCTAATTTTAGGCTATTTCTCTGTTCGGTTTTACATCTCCAGCTGCATTTTCTCTAATGCTCATTAAGTTCTTCCCCCACATGCCCTGGCCATCTGCCTCTGCTTTAACAGGCAAAACAGCTTGAGATAAACAGGGTTCATTCACTTTAATCCCTTATTGAACTACTTGGTTGTAGTTTCTTATTTATGTGGGAATAGGTGTGGGTGATAAATGATAAAACTTTAGAAATGGAAATGGCCTTTCCAATCACTTGAAATCCAGACAGAAATATATAGCATTTATTTTTATGTAGGGCAGTGGTCAACGAGTCAAACACTTCTCATAAATGACAATATTCTCAATATAAATGAGAATATTTATTCTCATAAATGACAATATTAAATGATCATCATCATATATATTAAGTACAGTAGATTTTGGAAAAATAAAAATGTAATAAATAAAACATTTATTTATTTCGCGTACCCCATGTGAAAATTGTAAGCATAGGCTGGTAAAACTGCTAATTGAGATCTGATGATCTGCTTCTAGTATTGATCCTGTAATAATATTGATTGTGTTCGAAAATGGGTGATTTTATTCAAAAGACTCAGAGGTCATGTTGAGGTTGTGTTCAGTATGATTTAGTGTCTTGGAGACTTGTCAAGAGGGGACGGTCATTCGACCTCCATTAGATTTCAGCACACAAAACCCATTACCTCACACCTAAGTCACGAGTGTGTGTGTGTGTGTGTTTGTGTGTGTATATATATATATACTGGAATATATATTCCAGTGTTATTTTTGCAAGCTGTGGACTTTGAATTGGTTTTCTGAGGTTTTATTGACGTCTTTCCACAATTGAAACACTGATTGAGCGATTGCAAGGCATGATACATTTCACTAGGTTGTACTTTTTCTTTCAACATATCTTCTGATGTTTATTCATGTGTATTTTGTGATATTATTTTACATTTACATTGTCATTTAGCAGACGCTTTTATCCAAAGCGACTTACAAATGAGGATAATGGAAGCAATCAAAATCAACAAAAGAGCAATGATATACAAAAACAAATAGATAGAATACAAAAAGATTAGAGAAGCTAGTGTTATTTTTTATTTTTTTATTTTTGAAGAAAACAAGCAGTTAGTAAATGAATAGAGTGCAAGTATAAAAGGGACAAGGTTTTTTTAAAGAATAGAATTAGAATAGAGTGTGTTAAGAGTTAGAGGGAATACTATAAGGAAGAGACGTCTACAAGCAGTCTGTGACATCATATTAAAAAGCATCAAAACCACATTTATGCTTGAATTTGATGCCTTGCATCAAATTTTAAATAAAAATGTAATTTCATAACTGTCTTATAATCTTTTCTAAATGACTTTGCAGTCAAACTGAACAATTTTGTTAAATCATCTCAAAATTGCTTTATTCACGTTGTAGAAAACTGCAGAAAAACACCAACTCGTCCTTCCTCTGTGAACTCGGTCAGCTCGAGGAGGTCTGGATCTCTCACTGCAAACCACCTAACAGAGACTCTGACCAAACAAACTCAAAGATTTCAGCTACAGGTACTTTAAAATAAGCAGTTTTAAATCTAATCAATGATTCATTATATCAAAATTCATATTAACAGGCATTTTATTGTAACAGCAGTGCTGTGAACCCTAAATCTTTTTTTTCTTTGTTTTTTCAGGTTGATGCTTTTGAGGCACTTCTAAAGAATGGGAAGCTCAAGCCCTGTGAACAGATAAAGGTATGCTGATGCTTTTCTAAAAAATTAAATTTTTTAAAGACATGAAGTCAGACTGACTCTGAACTGACTCATCTACAGGGTCTCTCCACACTGGCACAGGGGCAGGAGTCTCTTGAACATGCTTACCTTGATGCACGAGCCCAGTATCAGATGCAGCAGCAGCGAAAAGGCAGGCATGTCACCTTTGACCCAGACAGGTAGACTCTTTTTATGTGCATGTATAAATACACTACCATTCCAAAATTATTTGAAATTAATACGTTTAAGTGACAATAAAGACATTTATAATGTCACAAAATTGTTGTATTTTGTTGCTGATGCAAATATTGACAAAGCTGTTTCCTGTGCACTTCCTGTGCTGCTGGTTTGTAGTACTTCTATTCATACTGTGTGTTTGTGTGTGACACAGGGACCTAGAAGGTCAGATCTTCAGGTCAGGGATGCGATTGGAGGAGCTGAAGGAGTGGCTGGAGCAAGCAGAACAGAACAAACCCATTTCTGAACCTACTTTAAACCCTCTGCCTCCTTCAGATGTGCTCTGTGTGTCCATGCTGGAGACCGAACCTCTGCCTGAGGTGCCTCAGACTTAACCTCCAAACCTCACTAACCTTTGACCTCACAGATCTAAAGAACAGAAGTGTACTGATTTCCCCCTTCCTTCTTTCTCAGAGCCCACTGTCTGCTGTCCATCCTGAGGCTTGTGTTGGTGTGGAGGTTAGTTCAGTTAGCGGAGAGAGTGATGCAGACGGAGAGGAGGAAGAAGAGATCCTCCCATTTCTTCTTCATCCCCTCCATGTCAAACACCAGCGAGTGGAGAGAGACTTCAGTAAGCTCATGGACTGGTGAGTGACCGTTGACCAGCATATGTAAGAACAAACAGCTTTACATGTCAAGCTCAATCTCTTGGTGTTTTTATACCCAGCTATCAGAGTTTTAAAGAGCTGCCTGGGATGCTGGACCCAACTGTGACTTTAAAGAGCCATGACTTGCTGGATTTTGGAGACTCTGCTTCTCTTGGGAATACAAGTGTAACGGACAGACAACAACACAGGATTTTTAATGAGAAAAAGACGACGACATCTGCTCAGCAGTGAGTCATGAGCCTATTTTACATCAGCTTTACAAATTTTTAGTTTAGTAAATGGTTGGCAACTTAAGGCAGTAAAGAATAGGATGAGTGAACATTAGGTATGTTAGCAATATGTCAGAGAAGTGAGGAATATTATATGTTTGTGAGTGCCTAATCTTCTCCAGTAATCTGTGAACAATTATTTCATTATTTAATCATCACTGTGATTGGGCCATACTAACAAACCTTGAGAGAAATGACACTTATCATAGATAAGAATGATTGTACCTTACTAGAGACAACATCTTGGCTGATAAGCCCTGCTCGTTTATTATTGTTAATATAGTATTGTAGTATTTATTTCCATTTTTTTTATTTATTTTTTTATTTTAGTATTAACAATTTTTAGTCATAAAATAAGTTATATATTTTTTTTTTTCTTATTTATTTTATTATCAAATTTTTTATTCAGTGTTTTTTGTTTTGTTTTGTTTTTTCAGGTTTAGAGTAGTTATTTTCAGTTTCAAGTAATTTTAGGACCATCTTAAACTAAACAAAATGTATATATGTTCCTTTGGCAACTAACTGAAATAAATAAAGCAAAATATTTTTTTCTGTTTTATTTTAGTTGACATTTATTTTATTATTATTATTTTATTTAAGTGAACGCATCAGTTTTAGTTTATAACACTGTTTAGAAACTCCTCTTCGTATTAACATTCTACCAGCTTATTCTAATTCTGTGATAGAAAGTTAGTTGTCACAGACATCATAATGATATTTCTATGTTTGTGATCTAAACATTAGCTATATGTTGTTATTAGGTTTAATAAGGTAATTGAGGGTGCCAGCAGTTCAGTCCACTCCACCATTATCAACACCTGGCTGTTTGCGCTCTCATTCATCTCTCCATTCTCTCTTTCTTTAGGCAGGCAGCAGCAGATTGTGTCCCTCCCTCCGGCCCATTTGTCAGGTCACAGGTGTGTGACTCTATGGAAACTCACCTAGAGGCTCTTTGCCACTCCTCGGTGTTGCCAGGGCAACCGGGCAGGGGAAGGAAAACAGCAGGAAACAGGAAAACTCAAAGCAGTAGCCTGACCAGCCTGGCAGAGAGCACAGAACCCAGAACTATGGGTTTAAAAGCAAAGGCTAAGACTGTCAGAGCATCCCCTCTGGTCAGTGACTGCTTTATTTGTGATGAACAACACTATATATCATATCTAAAGGTTTATTTCTTTATGTGCATGAATAATAGTTTTAATATTATTTTAGTAGAGTTCTTACTTGTATTTTTTAACACTGTAGGATTGGGTTAAGTCTCCAGAGACAGACAGTGGCTTTATGGGCTCTGAGAGTCAGCTCACTCCTCCAGTACACAGTCCTCTCCAGCTGAGGGCAGTGGCGAGGTATGAAGCACCTTCACTGTATAAAGCACTTCGAATTAGATCTTGTGACCCATAATTAAATAAGAAACCACTGAAATCTAATGTGTTAGAGGTGCTTCTGCTCATACTTGGGGTTAGGGACTCATCCTGCACTATTTGTGCCTGATACCTCAAATCTTACGGCTCATTGAGGAGAGATGTGCTTTACGTATGAAACTTACAATTTTCCACCTGATAATAAAATGGGAGACAAGATCAACAAAAACCATACATTTTTCAGAAAATATAAAAATCTGTTTGTCTTTGCTGTCTTAGGGAATTTATACACCTTTATATTTTCCTCTTTTTGATGTCTTCTCCAGTTCCATCGGGCCGCCTAGCCCGCGTGCGAACACAGAAAGACCAGAGTCTGCTCCTCCTGCTAGACAGCCTTTTGCCATCTCCCCCACTCAATCACAACCCTCTACAAATACCCAAGAAGAACACCTCACTAAGTCTGAAGGATGCACGGGTCCTGTGAGGAGGAGAAGAGGGGAGGAAATGTGTTCTTCTTCCAGCCTTACTCCCTCATTATCCCCCATTCATTGGCCCAATAGCACCCTCCTGCCCTGGCCGAGCAGCCTGACCAGCCAATCAGAGCATGGGAGTGATCAGGGTGGGTTTAGGTTTGACATTTCAAATGAAAAAACGTGTATATATATATATATATATATATATTAAAAAAAACAACAATAATAACTGGTAAAACCTTACAATAAGATTCCATTTGTAATCAGTAGTCAATGCAATCATGAGTATCTTGAACTAACTGAATAATACTTTCACATGCTTTACAGCATTTATTAACCTAATGTTAATTTCTTAATATACGATACTAAAAAAAATTAACATTTCAGGCTTGATAAATTAACATAATTTATTTTTAATCTAAATGAACAATCAACAATAGTATATAAATTAACATGAACCTAAAATAATAAATAGAATGAATAATAAAAATAATACATAAAATTGGAAATATATCAACATTAGTTAATAATTTAGTTTTTTTTTAATTAATCCAGGTTGAGTGGCTACTTGCCATAAAAATAGCCAAGGAAGCTGGCATGGCAATAAAACACCAACCAACCATAAAAATATCTTGTCTTGAATAATGCGGATGTTTGAACCCATCATTAATACTGGTCCTGAATTTCTCTTGTCATCCTTTTTCTCTCTCTGCATCCTGCTTATACTCTTCTTTCCTCAGTCCGTTTCTTATCAGGGGATGAGAAATCACAGGATGGCCAGTACCCACAACCAGCCAATCAGCAGCTCCGCTCTCACAGAAGCCCTTCCCTCCATGTGCCTTATCACCACGGTGACCACCTCAAAGCTCAAAGTTCCGTTCAGCTAACAAATCAGCAGTGAGTTTCCAAAAGGCTGACATGACCACTGCAGCACAAACAAGCAAAGATTTATGGCTGCTCTTTTGAGCCAGGGCTTTACTGTAAAGGAGTTCTGGGAAAAACTCCAGTGGTATTAAGTGGTCTCTATGAAATCATTTTCAGTTCCAATCAGTTCCATCTGGATAATTAGATTTATTTTTCATTCTTTCCTTTCTGTGATTCAGCAGGAGTTTGTCTGTCAAATAGACTAGCTGAAGAGTGCGCTGTTATGTATTCAGCTCCGCATCAAGAGACCAGCATTAATCACCATTAGCTATTAATAAAACGGTAACCCTCTGTGTGTATTTGATGATTAAAATATTCACCTACCCACATCCACACACCCAGCACTTCTAGCAGTGCCTGTAACGCTCTTTTTGGTCCACACTGGAATGGTTATTTCTAAACCCTGTTTTGATCCTAACTCTAACAGAGAAGCAAAACATGACTTGGGACTTTTGAAGAGGACTCAGCTTGCTAAGTTGCTAGCTCGCTCTGTGTTTTTCACGCTCAAAATTATTCCATTTTTAAATAAATAAAAAATGTAATTTATTTCTGTGTTGACAAATCTGAATTTTTTCCAGCCTTTACTCCAGTCTTCTGAGTCACATGATCTTTCTGAAATCATTCTAAAAAGCCTATTTTGCTGCTTAAGAAACATTTCTGATTATTATTAATGTTGAGAACAGTAGAGCAGATTAATATTTTGGTGGAAACCGTGATATACTTTTTTCAGGATTCTTTGACTTACAGAAAGTTCAAAAAGAGCATGTATTTAAAAAATACATTTTATAACATTATCTGTTATAAAATATCTTTACTGTCACTTGATCAATTCAATGTTTAAAAAAAAAATTGTAGTGTACCCATAAACCCACACTTAAAATACCCTGTTGTTTTTCCTTTGTTGCAACACCTGATGTATAAACAACTAATCGCATGAAAAAGCCAGAACTGACTTCCAGATAGACATTTTAAAAAAATCGGATTTTAATTACATCCATTTTGTTCTTTCTTCAGATTCCAAAAAATGCCTTTTATATGCTGTTTATGTGTTTCAGAGAGGCTCTTCGATCTCTACAGCAAGAAGTGAACCGACTGAAAGAGAGACTAGAGGGAAATCTGAGACTCTCCGAACCTACCAGTCCTGTCAGAGTACCCACTTCTGCCATAGAAGATACCAGGGATCAGGCTTCCCCACAGACCACAACGTACCGGAAATCTATGATCTTAGACTGTCCAAAATGATGCGTGTTACCTAAAACTTTTAATTCATAAAAGTGATTTTATTATGTTCCTTATTTATTAGGTCTTCAGACAGGAGAAGGCAGCAGAAAGAGAGAGGGAGGAATGGAGAACAAGAGAGAGGAAACTCGCCAAGATCCGCATCTTTACCTCGACATCGGCCTCAAACTGATCCGAGTACATTTAGCTCCATGTTAATCTTTCGAAGTTACAGTAGAATACATAAGGATACAAACAGATTTTCTTAACGGTCCTAAATGACACTTGGATGCAATATTGGTTATTTGAATCTGTAATTACTTTTTCACCATGTGTCTTATTAACCCTTTAGCGACTAATTCTGAGCTTGTCCAATCTGAGCCACGACCATCAACTTTAAGACATGTCCTGATGTCCCCTATGACGTCACGAGGAAGAGGACAAACCAGAGGATTTGGACGTCACAAAGAGGACAGTACATGTAAGAAAAGACCTCATAATTCAACATAAATGACCAGTTTTCGTATGATGATCATGAACACATTGTGGTCATTTTAATTAAACATCAGCAGGCAGAGCCGACAATAGAGATGAAACCGAATCAAGCCGAGGACCAGAACCTGCCTGCTCACATTGCATGTCAGACCGCACTGGTTCCTTGACACGTAAGCATCTTACCTCCATCATGATAATTGGGTTTAAAATTTACTGAGCTTACATTTCATAAATTATCCTCCTGTCCTTTACACTATTAATTAAAGGTCTAGTGAGGAGTAGGAGCTCTCCACATCTCTCACAGCCTTCCTGTAGCCATTGCCCATTGTGTGGTGCATTACAAGCCAATAAAAGAGCCTCTCAACCAGGTTTGACATCATTATCTACAAACTTTTTTTTTACAGTGTGTCCTGAAAATGTAAAATATTCACCTAATACAACTTTTATCACCAAGAATCATGCTGGCCCCTTATATGAGTGTTTATTTAGCCAATCAGGAGCCAGTCTCCACCCCCAGAGGGAGTCGGCCAATGAGATCCTCCTTACAGAGGGACAGAGGAGGTGTGAATGTGGCTCCTCCCCCCACAGTTCTGGGAGGTGTTCCAGTTGGCCCATATGTGCCCGCCTATCCTTCAACTCTGTGAGTACCTCGGGATAAAGTGGCCATTAGATTAATTTACTTGCTTCTTCCTCTCCAGCTGCTTTGATCAATTAATCAGGCTCTAAAAATGTATGAGAACAATTTTCACTGTCGATGAGTTTTGCAGGCTTGATTAAAACTCGTCTGAGACCGCTGTGGAAGTCTGGGATTCAAAATCTAATTTGACCATGGAGGGAAACAAAGTTTTAGGATTTCAAAAATGCAAAACAAAAAACATTGTGATGTAAAATGAAGAAATAATTAGAAGATGAGCTATTTCTAGGTGACAAATTAAAATAAAATATCAGATTCGTCAGATTTCAAATAATTCTGATTCATGATCCAAATTATTCTGAAATTCAAGCTTTGAATTAATTTTTCACTTGTGTTGATAATATACTATGGAAGCCAGTTTCCACCACTGAATAAAAAAAGGTAATTGCGACTTTTTATCTCACAATTCTGACTTTTTTTCTCATAATTGCGTGATACAAACTCGCAGTTGTGAGTTAAAAAGTCATAATTGTGAGATATAAACTTGCAATTCTGAGAAATAAAGTCAGAATTGCGTGATATAAACTCACAATTCTGACTTTTTTCTCAGAATTGCGAGTTTATATCTCGCAATTCTGACTTTTTTTCTCGCAATTGCGAGTTATAAAGTCAGAATTGTGAGATGTAAACTTGCAATTCTGAGAACATATTAGCCCCCCCCCCCCTAAAAATTGGACTATAACTCGCAATTGCGAGTTTTTATCTCACAATTCTGAGGAAAAAAAAATCAGAATTGCGAGATATAAACTCGCAATTGCGAGAAAAAAAGTCAGAATTGTGAGTTTTTATCTCGCAGTTGTGACTTTATATCTCGCAATTCTGACTTTATAACTCGCAATTGTGAGTTTATATCATGCAATTCTGAGAAAAAAAGTCAGAATTGTGAGATAAAAAGTCGCAATAACTTTTTTTTTTTTTTTATTCCGTGGTGGAAACGGGCTTCCATAATATACAGTAATTTGTTGATGGAATGAAGTTTCTAGAATAAAAAAGTAAAGCATAAGTATTTTCTACAGTGGCCTCAGACATTTGAACCCTACTGTATATTATTATTTTTTAATAACATTTTTATTTAATAATTTATTTTTATTCAATTTAATAATAGCACTTATTTGAAATGGAAAATTTTTGTAATTTTTTTTTTTTACTATCACTATACTGTCTTGCTGAATAAAAGTTAATTTCTTTAAAAAAAAAAAGTCTTACCCTGATCTTTTGAACGGTAGTATAAATATATATTTCTATAATATTTATATTACATAATACTATTCATATAATTATTATATATTTCTTTCATTTTTTTTAACAATTAGTTTTAAGTAACATACAACTAACTCCTCTGGTGTCACTGTCCACATCAGAATGAGCATTCTGTGTCCTTTTCCCACAGTTACTTCTCCGGTCCTGTGACGTCACAGGCCTACTCACAACCCTTTAACATCTCAGTCAGTCCTGTCAGAGATGAGAGGCCAGGGGTCAGAGGTCATCGCAGACGATCGGTCTCTTTGGACCATCAGCAGCACACTCTAGACAGCTCTCTGACCCGTGCCATCACGTCAGCTAAAAACATGAGACAGGTCTCGCATCGCATGGCTCACTCTCTGGCCTCAGGACTGCACAGCAGTAGCTTCCTCACCTCATCCTGCACCTACTGACATCAGCGTTTACATCTGTTCATTTAGCAGACGCTTTTATCCAAAGCGACATTTATTCATTTTTATTCGTTTACAAAAACAACTGTTTTTCTCGTAGTGGTGTGACTGATGCAGACATGCAGCGCTGCACTGGAAAATGATGGAAAATGTGAGATGTCTCAGGTGTGCTGTAGCTACTGTTAGAGCTGATAGCTGCATTATGGCAGCTTAAACATTCCAAGTTTGTACATACAGTGACCCCTAAAAATATTAGGCCAATCTTAGGCCACACTTAAAGATGTATGCATTTTAGGTTTAAAAAACCATAAATATACTGTTCAAAATGGAGTTTACATTAGAACATGTTTATAGCTGTGATGAAATACACTATGCTAGGGCACCTGTGTGAATTTGAGGACTTCATATATCCACTAAAAGCATTTGTTTTGGAGAGTCAGTTGTCTGTTTTTTGTTACATAATGCCAAGACATTAATGCATGTTTAAGTGTGGTTTAAATGTCCAAATACTTTTGGGTCCACTGTAGTGCATCTTTTTCTGGAAAATCCAAATAATGTAACAGATTTATATTTACTTTCACAGTGTGAAGGTGAACCGGTTTTCTTTATAAATCTGTCAGTGACAGGTTTTTAAATCTTAATTTTTTTCTAATAGGGAGAAAATGGGTATAGTGCCACTCTAGAGTTTTTATTTATATTACCATACTTTTGTACTGTATTTGTTTACCTAGAATTTCCAAACAGCATAACCTTTTTAATGTAAAGGCATGTGTGACATGGTTTTCTACCCCACAGTCAAAAAAAGCAGTTTGATTGAGTGGAGTATATAGAGTCCTAGAAGAGTCTGTAGCAGCATTGAGGTCAGTGTGAAAAGACCAGCATGCATTTCACCTTGTGGAAACAAAAACGGAATAGTTATTAGTGTAAGTTTTTATAGGTTATGCAATATTGATTATTTTGGGCATCACCTAGTTAGGCAAATTTAATGAATTATAATGTTTCTGTCATGTGTTTTGTATTTATTGAGCTGTACTTTTATACTATATTTACTACTATAAATGTTTCTATGATATTTGACAAGGTGTGTGATGTTGCCATATTTCCTTATAGCTATTTCACCAAGATTCATTTTTCTCAAGATAAAGGACTGGACCTTCTCTTGACCTTCCTGTAGCTGCAAATCTGTGTTGAGAGCCAGCTAGTATATCACGTAGTCAGAAACCAGTGATCAAGGTTAGTGGCTAATCAAACAGTCCACAACAATATTAATTTGATATAACAGGGTTCCTATGCACGATCATGGAAAAGCTGCAAATAACAGGCAGCCATTTCCTGGTCTGGAATTATTAAATATGTATTTAATCATCTGCATAATATTAAAAAAACTGATCAATTCAAACTGGTTTGGAACCCTGTTATAAATCATGCATTACCATACAAATCAATGTAATTTTGTTCATACAAGAAAAAAGGAGACCATTGCAGTCCAGAGGAAATCATGTACAGAGCACGAAAATGTACTGATTGCATATTTGTAATGGAAGCCAATTTATTAGACAGCCTTAGTACATCGGTACACATGAAGTATACTTAAGTTTGTGCTTCAACACTCGCAAACATAGAATCCCAGTAAGATCAACAGGTTTAGGACGGACTACGTTCTTATTTATTGATATTCTCTGAAAAATAAATTGAATAGAAATCAATCCAGTCGACACAGATATACAACAGCAAACCCAAATTAAGGAAATAATTTAAAAGAGAGAGAACCATAGAAGCATTTGCATCACAGAAAACGCGTAGTGCAATATACAACCTTTCTGCCAGAACAGAGTAAAGAGGAAACTGAAACCGAAACATTAAAAAGGGGTGTTGCGTTTCGATTGCAAAGTCATTCACCAGTGGAAGATATAACATTGCACCAGAAAGAAACTATCAGACGGACAAATGAAAGATAGATATTACCTATTTTTTCCCAGTTTATCACTACAGCTACAGCTAATACGTCACGAATACAGTGGCTTCACATTGGCAAAGGAAAGTTTTACTACTTCACAGTCAGAAATTTTCACCAGTCAACAGTGAGACGAAAAAACAGTAACATATGGCATACAACAACACGCTACTCAGTGCATGTCCCAGTTAAACATTGTTTACTAACCAATGATAAGACTTAATCGGACGAGATACAATACTGAAATACAACTGGCCCTTTTTTTGAATTCCTTAAACATCTGCAAGCAACGGCCTTCTTCACACTAAATCATGAGGTCTCTGTAGAAGGAGACGTGAAAAGGAGATGGAGTAAATGCTCCCGGAATCGCGACTGAAGGAGGGGTGACGTCCGCTATCTATGTACAGTGTCTCTTTCACTTTTACAGATTGAGGCTTTGATCTGTTACTCCTTTGGCCTCCTTCCTCTTCATCACTGGAGTCCCAGAAGATGCTCATTGTTTCATTTTTACAGAACATGTTTTTTATATAATTTTTTGCATTTTTCCAGCATTTTAAAACATGTCAAAAGGGCCACATAGTAGCATCCATGGCATGCACATCTAAAATGAGACAACAATTAAACCCAAGCATCTAAACTGGGTGGCAGTTTAGCCTTCAGTGTAGGAAGTGATATGCATCATTTTGCCTCACTGGTCTATTTGCATACAAACCAGTCCCTCCCCCAACCACTTTTAAACCATTAAAAAAAAACACAAAGTTAAATAAGGAACAAACGCAAAAAGTGATCTACCATTTACGCATTCTAGCAGGTTCCATGACATACAATATTACATTTGGTACTTTCAGATTTTTAAATGGCAAAACGAAAACTCAGTTTGACAGTCTAATCATTTGCATCCATTGTAAAACAGAAGAATACTTGCAATGATTCTTTTATTTCAACATTAAATATATATAAATTTATAGAATATTCTTTTTAACTTGTCACCAATCATCTATTTTTTTTTTCTTTTTCTCTCAAGCAAGATGCATACACAGTTTATATAGGAGCGGGTGCGACATGGCGACGGATGAAGGGAGGGAGAGGGTAACTGGGTGATGGGGTTGGGGGGAAGGAAGTTGTGATTTTAGCTTGTCTGCTCCTCGTCGGGTTTGTTCATGGCCTTGAGGGCGTCCAGAAGCGGGGTGGGGCCGGTGATATGGGTCGAACCTGCGTAGATGAGCACCGAGGAGAGAAACAAAGAGAAAACTCATTAAATTTATACATATACTGAGATTAACTATAAAATGTGTTTTCAGCTGTGTATCTATCTATAATATTATAGAAAATATATAATACTATTAATGGTAATGAATATATACATATATATATATATATATATATATATATATATATATATACACACACATTATATACACATTACTGTTCGAAAGTCAAGTGTCAGAAAGATTTTTTTAAATTATTTAAAAAAAAATGTATTCAGCAAGGACACATTAAATTGATAAAGTGAGAGTAAAGACATTTATAATGTTACAAATTTAAAGGTTTAAATTGTCTTTAAAAATTTGTATTTATTTAAGAATACTGAAAAATATATATTTATATCATAGTGTCCACAAAAATATTAAGCTGCACAACCTTTTTCCAACTGTGATAATAATCAGAAATGTTACTTGCACATGCAAATCAGCATATTCGAATGATTTCTGAAGGATCGTGTGACACTGAAGACTGGAGTAATAAATTAGGCTTTGCCATCACAGGAATAAATTACATTTTAAAATATATTAAAATAGAAAACCATTATTTAAAATAGTAATATTTCACAATATTACGGTTTTTAATTTAGTTTTAATCAATAAATCCAGCCCTGGTGAGCATAAGGTACTTTCAAAAACATAAAAGAATCTTACCAACCCTTTTGAATGGTATAGTATATGCACATAATATTGATTTATCGAGATTTTGTTTTGAATCTAAAAATGTTAAAATCGCAAAATAAGGAAATATTTAAATTTGATTAGATATTTAGCTGAAGACACAATTCTAACACATCACAAATACTGTACATTCAAACTATCTAAAAACATTTGTGCCACAGGGTCATCTAAAAAATAAAAACATGGGTATGCACTGAAATATTTTCAGATTTTTGGTGCCCTATGGAACAAATGCCTATTTTAGCAAAGCTGCATGTTCCCACTACTTGTAATGCAATAAAAAGATCAAGTGATTAAAAAACGCTTGATAATGAGTGTCACATTCACTTAACAACCAGTGAGGGTTGCCTACAGAAAGAGGCAAATGAATCTTACATAGCTGAACGAGTATAACTGAATGTGTAGTTACATGCTCAGCTTTGAACATACACCTAAATTGCCTAGTTCTGACCACAGCTGAAATAATCTTCTGGGCCAAGTAAATGCAAACACGCAGTTTTGCTAATCGCTAATCGCTAATCAGATTCACAATGTGATTTGTAGCTCTTCAACTAGATGAGCGGGTCTAAACTAAAGATCCATGAAAACAAACCATATTATTGTTCAATAATTGCTGGAACAGTCAAGAAGTGTTTCATGTTGCAGTATGGGTTAAGACTGGCATACTGCATATGGTGTGATCATTTACGAACACGAAAAACCAACAGAAAAAGGGGAAATCAAAAGGGATATAGCTTTAGCAGCCTGACATTTGAGTGATGGATACTTGATAGGGTTAAGCAATGATCGTTCTTGTACAATGGTTTAGTCAGTAAAGGTTTTTGAAAGGACACTTTGTATTACAGGACCTCATTTGTGTGCATTTGTTGGCTTATAAATGTTATCTACTCTGTGTAATGCTTTGGAGAAGCTCGTAGCTGGGTTAAAGGAATATTCCGGGTTCAATACAAGTTCACCTCTATCAACAGCATCTATGATTACCACAGAAAACAATTTGACTCGTCCATTTGCTTGTCAAAACCTTGACAAAATTATGCTGTAATGCTCTTTCAATTGAAGTCTATGGGGCAAGGTATTCCAAAGGGTTTAAAAGACTAAAATAAGGAAATAGAATATTGTATATAAGCTTACACAGACAAGGTATACATATGTTTAAGTCTTATGATTGTACTTTCAGAACTGTGCGTACTGTATTTGATTATTATTACAATGTAATGCCCTATAGACTTCTATTTTAAGAGCATTACTGCAAACGCGAGTTTAGCAAGTTCTTCCAAATGAGTTAAAATGATTTCCTGTGGTAATTAAGAGCATGTCATAAACTTGTATTTAACCCAGAACATTCCTTTAAGAGCAAAGACAACTAATAGTATGTTTTAAATTCATAATATTTAATGTAACCACAAGCATGCACAGGAATTGCAGTGTTGTAATATAAAGTGTTGCTAAGCTTGTTCAAAACATCCTCTATTTTTAAGTACCAGTCATTAACCACAAATTGCATTGATAGATTACCTTGAGCTGTTTAATAGTATAGTAAGTTATTTTTAATGCAAAAAACAGCACCTGAGGCATAACATGAAGGTTTCTGAAAAATTACATAGGCAGGGCCCAAACTAGTTAGTTTCAAAATGTTAGTGTTGAGGAAAAGCGTTAGTGCTAAAGCATATCTGAAGAACACAGCTACATTTCAAGTTTTGGCATCTGCAGAAGAATTATAAAGAAGGAAAAGAGCCAGTCGCTGTCTGGCGGAAGTCATTTTAACATATATTCTTTGCAGACGGCCACTTGGTCATGTAGACGTGATGTGAGGTAGTTTGAGGAACTAGATTCAAAACAAAAACAAATTATCCTGCAATTGGCATCAATGACCTCTCCAGAGGTGGAAAAAACAAAGTTAATATGAGTGATTGTCTTGGATTGTTATTCAGAAATAATCGGAATATGGTGAGGCTTAAGGGTAGATTAAATCTGCTGGAAAATGAAGCTTTAAAAATTAATGATATTTGGGAGGGCAAATGGAGGAAGCCCTTCCTCGTTGGAAGAGGAGACTCCATTGAATTAAAAGGCGCATAGTGAGGAGAATGCAGTTTAATCCACCCAACAAAGGATGGGGTCAACAGGGATGGGGTCAGGACTACTGCATCTGTCACTCAAAAAAAGGCTCCGCCCACTGCAGTTCTGAATGAAGCATTCAGCAGATCAATATTGGCTGGTCCCAGTAGAAGGCGGAGCCTGAGTGAGACTTGCAGATCTGAGGCAGGAGCCGGACACCCATCCCTGAGGCGTGGTGGCGTAGTAAAACGGTAGAGTGTGGTAACAGGAGCAAGAAAAGAAAGCCCTTGTGCTGTGGGGGTTCAGAAAGGGTTTCTTTGTTCGGCTGCCTTTACTTTGTCAGAGTGTGATTTCTCTCTCCCACCCTTCCCTCTTTCTCTCTCTCACTCGTCTGAGGGGTCAGGGTCCTCAAAGGACACCCTAGTGGATTCTCGGAAGTCGGGGTGCCGCAGGTCCATTAGAAATTTGGTTGGGGTGAGCGTGTGAGTAGAACCTGCGGAGGAACAAAGGTGGCTTCACGCTCAGAATGAATCTCACACCGCACCTCACGTTCTTTCACCACCGTTAATCTTTATGGGGACAAAAGAGGGTTAAATACCATTTCCACCATCTGTAGGTCTTGATGTTTCAGAAATATCAACCTAGAACCCTGACAAAAAATGATTTTTGGAAGATCTGGGTGGACGTATCAGTGATGGAAGACTCAATAAATGTTAGGCCTCTTTCAATCAACTAAAAATACTAATTCCACAAATGTTGATCATTAGAAGTACAGCCAGTTGTCCCATGGAGGTCCTTCAGATGCATTGTCCATCTCTAATAGACCTCATGCTTGGACAAAATTGTGCAAGTCGCCCAATTCCACCAATTAGAAATTCAGCGTTAATGTAAAATCTTCAATGCTCAAATTTCTTCTGGAAAACAACAGACTGATACCGTACTTTAAAATTCTCTTCTAAAGGGCCGTTCACACTGATGGTAATTTGCAGTTACCAAAAGTCAATAATTTTAATGAGAACTCCCAATAGTTTACCCAAAAATGAAAAATTGCTCACCCTCAGGCCATTTAAGATGTATATTTGGAGACATTTATCATTGCATCACTTGCTCACCAATGGATCCTCTGCAGTGAATGGGTGCCGTCAGAATGAGAGTCCAAACAGCTGATAAAAGCATCACAATCTTCAAGACATTTTGAAAATGTCTTAATGGATTTGTTTCTTACAAACATGCAGCTTTTCACTTCATAAGACATTAATTGATTGACTGGAGTGGTGTGTATTACTTGTGGATTGTGATGTTTTTATCAGCTGATTGTAATCTCATTCTGACGGCACCCATTCACTGCAGAGGATCCATTGGTGAGCAAGTGATGTAATGCCAAATTTCTACAAAAATCTGCTTCGATGAAGAAACAAACTCATCTACATCTTAGAAGATCTCAGGGTGAGTAAATTCCCAGCAAACATTCATTTTTGGATGAACTATTCCTGGAAGAGAGAAGAAATTACTAAAAACATTCGACCCCATTGATTTTCATTATAAAAAAACAAGATTTTTTTTTTCAAAATATCCTCTTTTGCACTCCACAGGAAAAAAAAGACACTGGGAAAATAATTATTTTTGGTTTCTACAAATCTGTTCTGATGAAGAAACACTTTTGGACGGCCTGAGGATAAGTACATTTTAAGCAAATTTTCATTTTTGGGTCAACCATTTCTTTAAGAGCCGTGTGAACACCTACTCGTTTTGGCTGCCATAGGGCTTAAAAGTAAGTTTAAAAGACAATTCTAAACAAGTGCAGATCTTAAACATAAACCTTATCACATGCACACAAGACACACACAAAGAAGAACTTACGAACATAGACTTATGAACACATCAGAGGCTCACGACTGCAATTTAAAAGCAGTTAAAACATGACAGGCACAAAATACCGTACAAGACAAGAGCACAGGAAAAATATACAAGACTTTGCCAGTCTGATTACACATACGACAAAAACACATGTATAGTTAAATATAAAGATATCAATCTAAAGCTTTAAAGGGTGGTTGCTTAATTTATAGTGACTTTTAGCAGTACCCTCTGCAGACTCACCAACGATGGCCTCCCATTTGCCATTAGCCTGTGAGACCTCATAGGCACAGCGCATCTCGCTAAAGGACGCGCCCCCAATAATGAAGACCATGATGCGAGGGCCCGTACGGTACTCTCCAGGGGTTTTGTTCTTGTGCCAGTGGCCATATCGGGCACTGCCATGGAAAGAACACATGAATGCATGTCAACTCCAAGGTACAGTTTATTTTTCAAACCAGTCATTTGAAGGTATTTGTTAGAGACTGCACTGTTTTACTCAATATCTTTCCTCACTTGGCAACTGAAGACTAGACACTACAGGCAAAAACATAGATTTTTTTCATAATTTACTCTGGTAGCCATTGACTTCCATAGTATGGAAAAAAAATACTATGGAAATCAATTGCTACCAGGCAGCTACCAACATTATTCAAAATATCTTCTTTTGTGTTCAACAGAAGAAAGAAATTCATACAGGTTTGGAACAACTTGAGTGTGAATAAATAATGGCAGAATTTTCATTTTTGGATGAACTTTCCCTTTAAGGAACGACAGAGTTATTTGCAAGCATAATGAGAGGGGAAAGCGGCGTAAACACTGGTGATCTCGAGTCTAATCAATAGCTACGCAATGGGACCCATCAGATCCCAGTTCTCCCTCTGTGGGAGTCAGGGTTGTCCTGCTTTGCCTCTGCTACTGTTTACAAGAGCTGTGCTGGTTTGTTTGTCCTGAAAGCAGAACAGTGCGGCGGGATCATTACTGCTGACCCTGAGGAAATATCCCAGTTTCCACCGCTTCTGAAAGAGACTTAGTGTTCACCCCCACCTCACATCGCACCACCCACCAATCGAGGTATTGATCTCAATGTTCTCCCCTCCCCTCGGTGCACAAATGATTATTGATCCAAGCTGCTTCTATCTTTTGAATTGTGCAATACAAAAATGCATGTATACACCTGTGTATTGGGGTTTTAGTGTGTGTGTGTGTGTGTTAGAGTTGCCTTTGAAATTCTAATAAATTTGAATTTAAGGAAGTGTATTGGATATTTAAAGGAAATAAAATAACTGCTGTGTAGTTTTTATTCATTTCAAATTATTTAATTTTCTTGGTTTTAAAATTGATAACAAAATAATAAAAAGGTTATACTTTACAGTAGGGTCCCATTAGTTAGTGCATTAACTAACAATAAGCAATACATTTGTTACAGAATTTATTCATCTTTGTTAAGGTTAGTTAATAAAAATACAACTGTCAGTTAAATAATATTAACAGTTTAATTATGTATAAGTAAATGTTGAAATTAACATTTAACTAAGATTAATAAATGCATTAGTATTATTTTTATTGTTAGTCTGATATCTAATGTTGTTATCTAATGTTGAACCTTATTGTACAACAACAAAATTAAGATATAACTATGTTTGGCTGATTAACAAATTTTCAAATGGAATTATCTATAAACATCATAAACAATATATACATCATATAAGGTAATACCAGAAACATTAGATGATTAAATATGTATAATGTATTTTTATTATTTTACTATAGTTTTTTATCATATATTTTTAATTATTATAAAATGCCAAATATTATACATTTGTATTTTATTTAGGTATCTGTCAATAAAAAAAAATATTTTTTTGTTTTTTAAACTTATTTTATGAAACATGGTAAAAGAACCCAGAATGCTCTAATATATCTCTAATTCATTAAGTCTTCAAAATAGAGCCAAGCAACAAAGCACCTGAAAATAATTTCTTGCTCATTTTATTCATAATTTGCTTAACTTTTTTTGCAGTTTAGTAAATTCCTCTTCCTGTCATTCCATTTGAACATCCTGTAGGAGTGGCCAATTCAAATTCCTCATTATTTGAAAGGGAGCCTAAAAATCAGAATCGGTGAGTGAGTGTGTGTACCTGACTGCAGAAGTGCTGAAGGAAGAGGACGAGCGTGTTGAGATGTACGGATAATGTTTGGTGTCCAGCTTGTCATCGATAACATCCTGCAACAACATTCACAAGCAAAGTAAGACCACACATTTACACACAGTTAGGCCCAATCCCAATTCTATTTTATACCCCTTCCCCTTCCCCTACCCCTCCACCTACCCCTTCCCCTTGTCCCTTGAAACAGAGTGTCAAGGGGTAGGGGTGAAAATATTCCCCTAAGAATTGGGACACCACTACTATACCGTCACACGTCATCATACGTCGTCTAGCTCCTACAATACACACACCTATACTGGTGTGCTGGTGTGTGCATTAGAGCCTTTAATTACCGTTCTATATTAATGCGCTGCTTACTGACACACACACACACATATCAGAGATCGCGCAGCTCACACATCAGGGGCAAAGATACCTGTCAACGCTGCCCCACGATTTTTATTAATAACAGTTTAAATACTGAATCGCTACATTATATTTTCCAGCAGCAAGAGGATAAAATCGCTGTTTTTGAAGTAAACTCACTCTAAAAAGAGAAACGCGCATACACGCAACTTTCATCTCTCTCTCTCGCTCTCAAATTGGCAATATTTGAGAAAAGGGTTTAGCGATTTATAATTATTGGGGGGACTAGCCCCCCTCAATGTCTACGTTGGTTATCGCCCTGATCAGACATGAAAATATGTTGTGGCACTATCGTGCAGTCTGTAATATGACGTTAGCAAACTTTAGCGATTTTTTGCAAACATTTCTTTGAATAACATGACCGTAAATACGAACTCACGATTGAAAGTAACATAAAACAAATGATTACTTTTCGTTATTAATGCCAAAAAATGCTTACATTTATGTGTCTTTTTGTTTGCTCGGGCAGCCATGTTGCCGCTGAAGCCGGTTTACGCTGAGATAATTCATACCCATTAGTTTGAAGTGTGGTCCCGAAAAATCTTAGTTTGAAGGGCTCTCTGGCCCTTACCCCTACCCCTCCAACCAAAAGAGAATCGAGACACCCCTACACTTCACGTGAACGCGCAAAACGGAGGGGTAGGGGAAAGGGGAAGGGCTAAGGGGTAGAATTGGGATTGGGCCTTACTGTCAAATTCTATAAATCAGCACTGACCTCCATGATGTCCTTGATGAGTGGGGTCCAGCGAGAAAGCTGGTAGGTCTGCTCGCTCACACGCTCCTTACGATCGAGCTTCTTGCCTCTGCGGAGAGTAGACTGCAGCATACAGAAACAAAATGGCAGGTCAGAGAAACCGCTTTAACAGCCACGGAAACGTAATCATTGCTTAGGACGCAAATCAGACAGCGTACATCCGTGATGATTGGGACACCCAGATGAGCCATATTGGTGATGATCTCACTGTCCTCAGGAGGGATCTGGGCATGTTGAATCAGCTTGTTAAGGTTCTCCTCCGTGATCCCTGTTTTCCAACACAGGAACACACGTTACAAAATGGCTGATCAGGGCAGTGAGAAACAAACTGAGGTATAAAATGGCTGCCAAAAGGCTCTCTTACCATTCTTGAGGAAAATGTAGAGCAGGATGATGCGGATCTTGTCGTAGGTGCTGACGTTGGCGTCCAGCAAGATTGGCACGATGGCCCTCATGGGGTCTTTAATCTTTTCGCCCTCTGCGTCTGTTCCCATAGCGAGATCCTGCCGGGTGACAGAGCACACGTCATAAATTATGCTTGGCACACTGGAAGCAATAAAACCTAAAATTATATGATGCTTTCAGAAACCATGGTTTGTCCATTATCATAGTTAGATTAATTTAATCAGTGGTGGATCCTGGTAAAGGTGATATAGACAAGTTTGTAGTGTTCTTGGCACACAGCTTTTAGACACGCACTCCATACTCGATCGCTCATTTTGGCAGTTTCATTGCACCTGTTCTCTGCTCTGCTCACCCCCTCATTGAAAATAAATCGTGTCCTAGTGGGTAACTTTTCCGAGCAGCTCCTGTGTTATACTTCCCTCCCCACCACCTCTTACTTTGGTTGCTTTCAGCCTACACCATAGAAACAGAATGAACAGCCCATGAAAATTTGATTTTTTATCTACTAGAAGCCAAAAATGGAGGAGGGATGGATGACTATAACACTGTTTAGTCCTATTACAGTCAAATTAATTAATCAAATCAGAAAAAAAATTTTTAAAATACTTTATGCCAACAATTAACAATATTATGTGTGTGATAGATAGATAGATAGATAGATAGATAGATAGATAGACAGACCATTATATTTGAAAGGGTGATTAATCAGCTTAAGTTTTGCCATTTTATACTTTATATAAATATGTTTGGCTGATTAACAAAAGTATTAGCTCCTCTTTTTGTAATAATGCATGTGGATAATGTACATTTTCTGTTTTCATATTTATATGTATATGTAAGAATTTTTATTAAATATTATTTACCAAAACTTTTTTCATTCGCAATTATTAAATCTTTTTGATTTATTAGGGGTTTAACGATACACGTATTCGTATTGAACCGTCCGGTACGAGGCTTTCCGTTCGGTACGCATTACAAACCGAAACGATTCCTTGGTCTATTACATTTGAAAAATAAAAGAGCTTAAAGTGTGTGAAATATAATGTTCTCAGTGCCACTGCGCTCAACAAGGCAGCCCAAACGACGTAATGGGCAACGTGCTGTCTGCCCAGTGGCCCCGCGATAACCTCCCCTTGCTGGGGTGAGTCGAAAGACAATGGTCTTGTATGACGATAGCCAGAGATATTGTCAAAAACATCAATTATTTTCAATATTAAGAGTATTTGGCATTTCCAAATAATGTAGGCCTGTTACATTCTTATTTTTATTAGGCCTATTATTATTAAGTTACTTTTATTATTAAATTAAAATTACAATTAATTTGCTCCTCATTATTACCGCATAACTGACACGCTGCGAGGATAACGAAAGATTAGGCTAATCACTCCTCAATTAAAATTTTTTATTTTTTTTTACAGGTCATTATACAATGAATTATAGGCCTATAATTAAAATATTAACAATGCAGTCATCAATAAAATCAATGAAATATAAAGCTTTAGCCTATTTCAAGCACCGACTTTAAAAAAGTTTCTCATTTTTTTCACTATGTTCGGGCCACAAGAGAAATATTAAGGGAATAAATTAAAACAGCTATATACCGTTATCAGCTTATGTTGAAGTAAATTTGTCTCTCGTTGTCTTTGAGATAATATGCGGCATCAGACGCCGAAAGCTCCATCATTCCTTTTTTACGTTCACTTTCTGCATAGTGAATTGACTGAGATTAAGACGTTTGCGCAAAGTTTGCATGTTGCTTATGTGATATCCATTGGCTTGCCTTCGTGGTTTAAAAATGGTTATATCCAACATTGCTACTTATGCCGAGTTCACACTGCACGATTTTAGCCCGATTTTTCACTCGCCGACAGGTTCAATTAAGTATCGAAAACATACCGAACCGTGACACCACCGTCTCGTATCGAACCAAACCGTGAATTTTGTGAACCGTTAAACCCCATTTATATATTAGGGATGCACCGAAATGAAAATTCTGGGCCGACACCGAAAAATCTGGATGCACGTGGCCGAAAACCGAAACTGCTTTGTAATTATTATTTATTATTTTATTAAACAATACAAAGTAATTTTGTAAGACTTTTTAATTTAACTAAATTTTAATGATACTGAATTTAAAAAACACAACATACTTTTTACTGAAAGTAACAATAAAATTGAACAGAATTTATATTAATATTAGTTACACATTACAATAAGGTTCATTAGTTAACATTAGTTAACTACTTTAGTTAACATGAACGAATAAACAATACTTCAGCATTTATTAATCTTAGTTAATGTTAATTTCAACATTTACAAATGCATTACCATAGTAATGCATAGAATTAACATGAACTAACAGTGAACAACTGTATTCTCATTAACTAACATTCGGAAAGACGAATAAATACTGTAATAAATGTATTGTTCATGTTAGTTAATAGGCTACAAACCCGATTCCAAAAAAGTTGGGATACAGTGTCCCAACTTTTTTGGAATCGGGTTTGTACATTAACTAACACTAACTAATGGAACCTTATTGTAAAGAGTTACCTTAATATTAAATATCAATATATTTTTATTCAGCTCCATGCAACAGAATCAGATATAACATTTTTAAACTACACTAAACAAAATTATAAATGCAACACTTTTGTTTTTGCCCCCATTTTTCATGAGCTGAACTCAAAGATATAAGACTTCTTCTATGTACACAAAAGGCCAACAAAGTGTTGCGTTTATAATTTTGTTCAGTGTAATTATCCAAATAATGTATAATCCTACAAAGCTATTATTAGCAGAGCATGTGAGCAAAACGTCACGAGAGAGTAGCATCATTTTACCAGCGTTGCCATATGTTACAGCACAGTAGCGCTATAGCAGATAGGAACAAATATACTACAAAGAAATATCCTGTCGGCGCATTATTTGAGCCTTTGCTTTTCCGGTAAGTATGAGTGGTACACGAGCGGAACGCACATTCATAGAGCGGAATATTAAGCAGAGCGTCACACCGTGCAGTAACAAGGAGAGTGAAACCTGCGCACTGAACATGGCTGGGCGGTGTGGCGCGCCATATATATTATATTTTTTTTTTGGCTCGTTATTTCGCCCGTCTTTCTCTTTCGGCCGAAAACCGAAAATGCTATTTTCGTCTGATAATGTTCGGTGGCTGAAAATTCGGTGCATCCCTTATATATATTAGAATTTTAAGGCAAATATTTTTAAAACTTTTTTAGCACTAGTTTTGAATAGAATAAATATTGTATTGTACCAAAAATTTTAATTAACCTCATATTATAAATAATAATATCACATTTTGTGAATGTCAAAATCATTGTGTTTAAGATAATTAATGAAACTTTGGTGAATATGCAACAATTTTTCTCTCAAATTTAGCAGTAATGTCTGTGGTGAAATTGTACCTGCTCTACACGGCATAGCTTGTCCACGGTTCCCTGGTAGTGCTTCATGCAGTCCTCGGCCAGCTGCAGATGGGTCGAGTACTAAAGGGGCAGAGATTTTAAGGGTCAGTGAGGTAAATATTGGAACTGAAATTCCTGTGAGGAGTCTCTTGTTTGGCTGATTGCACATGTGTTTTGACCTCTCACCTTGCTGAGCTCTTTCTGGTACTGCGGCATCTTCTTCAGCATTTGAGACAGGTCCCTCATGGTGGTCTGGAAGAAACACAGGACTTTCTCAGAAAGGAAAGCAAAACAGAGGTCAGACGCTGCCTCAAGACATGTCTCAGATCCAGTAGGCCACATTAGGGACAGATATGGCGTAATATAAAAGCTGTTATGGTTTGTGAGACTATACACTATTGCATATAGTATAGTACGTCACAGTAGAAATGTGTGTGTTTATGTGTGTTGGCTTGTGCGGTGTCAGTAAGTCAATCAACACTAATCCTGCTGTTGCATCAGTATGCTTTCACATGAGTCAGCCATCACGGTTTGGATTCGGCTGCCAGCGCAATCTCATCTGCCAGGCTATCCTCCTTCGCCCACACTACACTATTCTCTCTGTTCTACTCCTCATTTATTCTCTCCTCCAGGCCCTTCCCCCTCAGCCGGACTCCAGTGTACCTTCTCCCCAGTATTCATCCGTTTACTAGCAGAAAACTCCTTCAGGGAGCGCGTCACCTCCCTGTGAGCAAGGGAAATGAGAAAGGGATGTCACCATTTACAGACAGAGAATATTACAGGAAAACCAGAGCTGAAAAGGATAGTTCAACTTCAGTTGCTGGTCCCCATTGACTTCCATAGTATGAAAAATAAAAATAAAAACACACTATGCAAGTCAATGGGAACCAGCAATTGAAGGTAAACTATCCCTTTAAGGCCAAAAATGTAAGGTTTTACTCACTGTGAGACCTCAGCAATATGTTTGTGCCGTAGTGCCACCCAGAGGTCATCGTCTTCATGCAGTAGCACTTCCTTCTCGCGGGAGTCTCCCATCCCACTGGTATCATACCTACCAGATACAAATCAAACAAATGTTTATATTATATTATATATAACTGTCCTTGGTCAATTAATGAAAGTATTTGTTAATGATCCCTTTGTAATAATTCATATGCATAATGCACATTTTCTGTTTTTAAATATTTTAAATATTATGTGTATTTTAATTGTTATTTAATATTTTATTATATGATAATATATTTATAATATAATATGTAATAATATAATTATTTAACTTAATAAATATTATTTAAAAATAAATATTTATACATTTTAAATAGTTGACATATATGTATTTTTATATTATTGTATTATATGATATTATATTTATATAAAACGATACCATTTAATAATTTTATATAATAAATATTATTTAAAAATAAGTTTAAACAATCCTTGGTCAATCCTTGTTCAGACGAAAGTATTTGTTAATAATGATCCTTTTGAAATGCATATGCATAATGCAGAATTCAGTTTTTAAATATTTTAAATATCATATGTATTTTAACTATTATTTTATGATATTATATTCTATTTACAGTCGTGGTCAGAATTATTGGCACCCTTGGTAAATATGATCAAAGAAGGCTGTGAAAATAAATCTGCA